GCAGAAGTGTTGGGCAGGGGGTGCAAGAGGAGCCCTCTCATCTACTTGGTCTTCACCAGGTACTTGATAGCTGGCCGGTGCCCTCCTAGCCCAGCTTATGACACTTTCCTAATTACTCCTCAGGTTCCCCTAAATTTAATTAGTTCACTATGCACATTGTTCAACAGTACCAAGCAGGGACGGACTGACAACTCATGGGGCCCCTGGGCAATAGGGGATCATGGGGCCCCTGTGTCCTTGCCCAAACTCAAAAAAGCCTATGAAAAAGGTACCAGAAGCATCTCATGGGGCCCCCTACTGATCCCGGGCCCTCGGGCAGTGCCAGAGTTTCCAAATGGTCAGTCCGCCAATGGTACCAAGCACTGATGAAGGGGAACCCTTTGAACCTCCAAAATGTTTTGGCTTTTTATGACCTAAGAGCCTAAAAAAAACAACTGAATCTGTACTTTATACATTCTGCTTTTGGCACTTTCCTCCTTGCACACCCAATCCATACTCAAGCAAAGAGCTGACTTTTGGACACCACTCCTGGGCATGCTGCGTAAAAATTGTTCACCTAATACTTTCACCTGTACTTTGTTTGCCCGACTGTTACTGATGCCAGCCTCTTTCGTGGACTCTGCTTCTGCCTCCTGATTTGGTACTACACTGCTCGGCCCTTCCTGACCTTGGTTTGTGCTCGACTCCACCTCTGTCTTTTGATCCAGTACACCGCTGCCCAGGGGTGGACTGACAACTCATGGGGCCCCTGGGCAATAGGGGATCATGGGGCCCCTGTGTCCTTGCCCAAATTCAAAAAAGCCTATGAAAAAGATACCAGGGGCATCTCATGGGGCCCACTACAGTGCCCGAGTTTCCAAATGGTCAATCCGCCCCTGCCACTGCCTGATCATGTCTACCCTCAACAAAGGGCTCCTTTTAGTTCCTGTAACATGCTCCAAGATCACAGTGTTCTTGTGCCTGGTTCCTACTCTGTGATCCTCAGTTCCCTTGCTCCATGCATCTGGCTGCAACAACAGCACTCCATGCCCTCACTCTCTCTCTCACCACCTTCAGAAGTGTTGGGCAGGAGGTGCAAGAGGATCCTTCTCATCTACTTGGTCTTCATCAGGTATTTGATAGCTGGCCGGTACTCTCCTAGCCCAGCTTATGCCACTTGTCTAATTACCCCTCAGGTTCCCCTAAATTTAATTAGTTCAGTATGCACTTTGTTCAACAGTACCAAGCACTGATGAAGGGGAACCCTTTGACCTTCTAAAATGTTTTGACTTTTTATGATTTAAGAGCCTAAATAAAACTGAATCTGTACTTTATACATTCTGCTTTTGGCACTTTTCTCCTTGCACACCCAATCCATACTCAAGCAAAGAGCTGACCTTTGGCCACCACTCCTGGGCATGCTGCCTAAAAATTGTTCACCTAATACTTTCACCTGCACTTTGTTTGCCCGACTGTTACCTGGACTCTGCTTCTGCCTCCTGATTTGGTACTACACTGCTCGGCCTTTCCTGACCTTGGTTTGTGCCTGACTCCACCTCTGTCTTTTAATCTAGTACACCGCTTCCTTATCATGTCTACCCTCAACAAAGGGCTCCTTTTAGTTCCTGTAACATGCTCCAAGATCACAGTGTTCTTGTGCCTGGTTCCTACTCCATGATCCTCAGTTCCCTTGCTCCATGCATCTGGCTGCAACAACAGCACTCCATGCCCTCAAACTCTGTCACCACCTTCAGAAGTGTTGGGCAGGAGGTGCAAGAGGAGCCCTCTCATCTACTTGGTCTTCACCAGGTATTTGATAGCTGGCCGGTACCCTCCTAGCCCAGTTTATGACACTTGGCTAGTTACTCCTCAGGTTCCCCTAAATTTAATTAGTTCAGTATGCACATTGTTCAACAATACCAAGCACTGATGAAGGGGAACCCTTTGAACCTCCAAAATGTTTTGGCTTTTTTTGACCTAAGAGCCTAAAAAAAAACTG